GATTGCTCTTTGCCGACGTCACTGTTTATGTTATCAGTAGTTTCTGAAGCCATCCGTTGATGATATTTCCTCTTCCTTTTTTCCTCCTTCAAGGTTGCACAAATAGTATCTTCAATAAGACGATCAAGCTTTTTCTGTCGCGAAATATCTGCGTTTCGCGACTCGTACATATGTTCCATCGAAGCGTCATCGCTTGACTGCTCTCCGTCTTGAGACTTCTTCTTTCTCTGATTCTTCTCACTTGAATGTGGATCAAAATATCGAGAAAATCGTTTCAAGGAAGAAAGATGCGAATGGTTTTGAGATTGACCGTGTTTTTTTGAAGAGACAGACTTAAGAGATGTTTTGTTCAACATCTCCGTCATCTCTTTCACCACTTCTTGACTAATTGTAGATATCATATCTTTCTTTGTTTGCAAATCTTCCGTGGTGTTCACATTCTGCGGCTCGTCCACACGTTCAATCGAGGCGTCGCTCGACTGCTCCTCGTCCTGAGAGCTCATCCTCTTTTGATTCTTCTCATTCGAATCGAAGGAGCATTTAGGATGTCGTTTCGAGAGAAAAGAATATGATTGACTTCGAGATTGACCCAGTTCTTCCTTTAATGGAGGATTCGCAAAGGAATTTAAGCGTTTGTTTAGCTCCACCGTCACTTTTTTCACTACTTCTTTTGTGATCGTAGACACCATGTCCTTCTTCATCTGCAAAACGATAAGATTAATCGTTTCAGTAAACAAGGACAAGAATACATATATTCAGTTAGTACATATCACTTACCGCTTCCATGTATTCGATGAACCACGGAGGAGGCATCGTATCTGAACACTGTAATAAAGCATTCGACTCTTTTGGAATTTTTATGCCCTCTATTTTTATGCCCTCTAATTTGGTTTGTTCCTTGCTCCTCACATCGCTATTCGATTCGTCACATCGTTTTGCATCTGATTTTTTTCGATTCAATATTAGTACTTTCACGATTGAACGCTTCCGTTTGTCAAATTCAGAATTCGATTCCAACACAGAACCATCACTTTTCTCAAAAAAGGACGAGATAGAATCGTCATTGGTATTTTTCGACTCTTTATTCGGACGGGTCTTGTTCATTTTAGAACTTTGCTTATTGCAGTACAATGTGGACATGTTAAAAGAACCCACAATCAATGGAATTGCTGTGTTTACCTTAAAGGCCTTTTTTGCGAGCTAAAACACGAGATTCAAAATCTTTAGGCTTTGATTTAACATACACTGCAAAATTAAAATTACTAAGTTTCAATTCTAAAAAACAGAAACTTTACATCTGATGAGTTCAATTTAATTTCCATTTGATATATTTTTGTTTAATAAGAAAATTATATTTAATAAGAAAATTATAATATTTAATAAGAAAATTTTAATATTTCTTTGAACTAACAATAGTACCGATTCAAGGCTAATAAGAGTCAGCGCGAGAGAAGGTGCGCAACCTTAAATGATGATTTAACTCCAATTTCTTTGTGATGTCTTCTTTATTCACAGTGTTGAACGTTCAATACTGTGAGTAAAGAAGACATCACAAAGAAATTGGAGTCATCATTCCACTTTAACCCTAGTCAACCACTCTTGGATCCAACGTACTCTATGCGATTTTTCATATTGCTGTAACTTTTTTATAATATAATTTAAAAACTCGGATTGAGGCTGAAAAAAAACTTTAATTGTCCATAGATATGGTAAGCCTGCAAGGATATTTTTTTGCGTTATTCTTGATGTGAGAATGCATGAAAGTTCAAAAAGGGTAATTAGGACCTACACGTTATTAACTTGTAAGTTTTCGGCGTTCTGGGTACCCCTTTATTTTTTATTAAATATACGTTTACTGAGTTTCGGATAATATAAAAGTAAGTACACGAAAATGTAGAATTAAAAAGAATTATTTCAATACAATAAATAGTAGAAATTTTATAATCTCTGTCAGTCTTCGGAGATCGCTCGTCCGGAGCGGATGTATTGCTTTAGAGCGAGTGTTGCAACATCCTCTAAACTACATCCTAATAAATTTAATTATATATACTATAATAACTTATACTTGTACAATCCTTTATTTAGCATTTTATATCGTTCATATAATAAAATTTTATTTATTAATTGTAAACTTATAATGTATGATTTTTCATCTATGTAGATTTTTCAAAAATGTCGATTTTCGATAGTTCAAGTAATTATACTTTTTTGAGCGATTCATATCGTACTATAATTTTTTTGTTAGTCCAAAGAGTCAATTAAAAAAATCCTACGAGTTTTTGCTTGAATATTAAATTTAAAAATTTGAGAATTTTTTTATCCAAAGTAGTCAGTTTTTGCGAATTTCTCCAATAAAATTTCTTTGAAGCATTGTAATTAATTGAAAATAAAATATTATTTATTTGATTCATATTTATCTGTCTTTGTCTGACTTCGAGGTATAAATTTCACACGTTTTGAGTTAAAAAATACGTATTCAATCCAGAGATATAGCGTGACAAAGTTGGAGGGTTTCACAGACCCTAGTGTAGCTGGCAAAGTAACCAAAAGTAACAATGGCGTGCTAGAGTTAAGGTTGTGCATCTCCTCCCGTGCTGGAGAGATCCTTATTCTTATCTATTCTTATGATTCTTATCTAGCCTTGAATTGATACTATTGTTATTAGTAGTGAGGGCCCCCCCCCCCCCAGTGAAGATATCCAATTTATTATTTCGTTAAACATTATGTTTTTTTCCATATTCTACTATTTTATCTCATAAAGATACTACTAATCTGTCTAACATAAAAAATAAAATGAAAACTAAACTGCACAAATAAATTACACTTCTCAGTAATCTATACGTTAATTTGTCGAAACTTCGTAAAAATTATTAAGAGCAAAAAGGATTAAATAATCCTCTTTGATTAGGATACCGATGAGATACTATTTAAAGATTGAAACATCCTTACGGGAGTTCGCGTCCTTGTGAATATTGAAGTAATTAAAAACTGATAATATTGTACTAATTTTATGATTTATTAGTTTAATAGACGTATTTATGCATTTAGGACTCAATAATACTCGATTTTTCTTTAAAATTGTAATTTCAGTGTTATCGTAAAATTTGATTATCAATAGAGATGATAACTGCAGAGAAAAAATTGCAATTTTTCTGTAATATATAGGATATTATAGCTTTACAAGTATGCATATTTATTTATAGAACATTTGTGTAATACAAAATCATGAATTTAATGAGCCAAACATTTATGTTAATAATAGCAAATTTATATCAATTGTCGATAATGTCAGCATTATTCAATTATCTACCCGGGCCCTTGGGGTCCTTTTTATACCGCCGAAAATTTGCCCAGGATTGACGGTCTTTAATAGTACCTCGTCGTGATTAGGAGAATGTATTTAATAAGAGGTGATGCGAACTGAATTCTATTTAAATTTCGCACTCAAGAAAATTCGAAAAAGAGAAATCGACTGAGTAAATTGCGAATTTAGATTTGAGTTTTAATATATCTTATTCTTGTTTAACAATGGATGAACAACAAGGATAAAACGATACACGGAGGCACTCGGATAATGTTTCCGAATGCAGTTAATGGGAAGAAAAGTTGTTGAAATTGTGAATATGATGAAAAATAGAACTTCAGGCAAGCGCGAAATTTGAATCGGATTTAAAGCCTGCCATTTAATTCTCGTCAAAATTCTAAATATTTCATCCTAATAAATCAAATAATTTTTCATGAATATCGAAGAAGTCACTTTGAGTTCGATCCTCATATCCAATTATTTTGGAAGGAGGTATAAATTTACTTTAATGCGCAACTCGAAATGAAGTACAATTATAATTGTAATATATATATATATATATGTGTGTGTGTGTGTGTGTGTGTGTATGCCATATACACACACACACACACACACACACAGTATACACGCATACCTTCAATGCCTCGTCAAACTCGCATTCCGAATCGATTGGCACTCTGTCCCCGTCATCGTCGATGTAGAAGATGCGTCTGTTCTTCGGCACTCCAAACTGCTTCCACTACAGACATGAAAGTCAGCGTCATGCGTCATTCACGCTAATTACATGTACAGGGTGTTCCGAAAAATGTATACAATTCAGTAACGGTAGACTTATATCGATCGACTGCTACGTATTTTCTAGATTGTAATGTGCGACGAAATTTGCCACATTTTATAAACATTACTTGAAATAACAATGAACAAATATTTTGACATGTGGCGCTTTAAAATTTATGCCTATAAACTGATGCCAATAAAGCTCCATCCGTAGTCCGTACTCGAAAGAAGGAGACGTACTCACCAGATGCATCCGCATAGCCTGCAAGTCATAGTTGGGCAAACGCGGAAAGTTGACAATAGCTTCGTAGTCCCAAAGGCTGAAGCCCTCCTTCAACAGGAAACAGAAATATTCCTGATGGGGAATGTCATTCGACAATTTCTTTGTCGTCGACGACGTCGACATGATTGTTGTCGACAGCAAGATAACGCACTCTCGCACTATTTCTTAATGATTCCTCGGACTTTGGATCTGCGCAAGATGGAGCCGCTCCACCGCTCGGAATCTGCGCGAATCTGCAGCCGCGCTGTTTGACACCATCTGACACTGTCCCACGTCCGGACGTCAATCGGACGTCGTTTCTCCAAGTTTCCCTTCGACAACGGTCCGTAACGACACGTAATACGTAACGATTTCGTAATGTAGATACGTAATACGTTACGAAATGATCAACGAGAGCAACGAGAGAAGCCCGCTGGTATAACAAACGATCCCGCTGCAGCTTGTACAGCAGTGTTCATCCAGTGTTGACGAAACGGAGCCGAGTCAGCCGAGTCAGCCGAGAACGCCGAGAACTGCCGAAAGCTATTTCGCGATCATGCGCAAGCGGGGACGAGTAGACGCTAACCCCTTCCCCGTTGCAATTTGCACTTTCAAATATCCGGGACTGTCCGGGGCTCGGAATGGCTGGGAATCGCTCGGATCCGGGATCGAGCTCGAGAACCGTGTTCCTTTGTTCCCGTTTGTTCCTCTTTATTTCGCAGCTTTATTTCGAAACTGGTTCTACATTAGCCTGATTAGACGCGAGTCACGCGGACCGATCGAAAAGTTTGCTACGGCAGTCAATTTCAAGAGTTTTATTGAAAAACGCAAGCTCCAAATTGGCTGTCGCAACAATCCTGCGGATCGGCTTGCGTCATTTAATAATAATAATGTAAAACCAGTTTAACGCGCAACGCATGAAGGTAGACACTTTATAAAATAAACAATTTATTAATAAAATAATAATACATTTATCTATTACTTGCATCTGTCTTTTTACGCTAGCTTTTGATTAATAAGAGTGAAAATAATAGAATATCTCGTGTAATTCGTGTACAATTTATAAGTAGACAATTTATAGACGCGGACGTTGCAAGGTATAAGATTATTAATTTCAATCATGCGATTAAGTTTAATTCAATCGACAAATAATTCCCTACTTTCCGGGGTATAGATATAACACGCACAATCATGCTACAAATTCGCTATACGCCAATAGTCTATTTGTACGCAGATTGTCCTTTCATATTTCAGTGTTCTCTGCTTATACGCTTTATGTACTCGTGTAATAATATATGTCATAGGCCGGTATCGATAGTCAGATCTTATATTCAAGACAGTCTTGATAAGTACAGTCTTAAAAAGTCACGAACCAATCTTAAGACATTACTTAAGACGATCTTGAAATAAGAACCGACTACGAATACCGGCCACAGTGTCAGCATAAGACTAGAAACATATAATATTCATTTAACTTAACTTAACATATCACACTCATCAGCTAAGGTACATTAATCGCTTAATAATGTACTAGGTAGCGGGAAAAGGAAGAACTCTTTATACCACTTAGAGATCTTATGCCACATGCCTGTATTGTTAGCGTAAACGGCGAATAGAGAAGGATTTTGTAATAGCTACAACGCAAAACGGGGAGGGCCGGTACACCACACGGTACACCTCCCATTAGTTCTCTGCATTTGAATCCTCGCATTAAATAGACATTTAACATTTCGCTAAAATAAATAGTAGCTCTGCATTTGATTTAAGATTAATAGCGATTAGATTCCCTTTACATGGCTAACAATGACCATTATCAATAGAAAAATAAAATATATTGTCCTTTTAAGCCAACAAATGTTACGCGTGTGTATATGTGTATATCTGTACGTGTACGTGTGTGTTGCACGTGTGTTTGTGTGTGTGTGATATATATATATATATATCGGCAACTGTCGAAAGAGAACAGTTTCCTCGCAGCAAGCACATTTTCGTAATTATAATTCGTAAAGAAACGCTGCATTTCTGAGGATGGAAAACTTGACAACTTAATTTGTATATTTGCATCGGCTCATGCTATTGACTTTCTTGTATCACATAAAGCAGAAGATAATTTGGGACTGTTACTTTAGATTAGAATAACAAAACGCACAACAGTATACTTTATATCGAGCTTTAAATACTTTCAAACAATTTTCTCTTCAGTTCGAATGAAACTATTTGGTGTTATCACTTAGCACACATTACAAACAATCGTAAAATAATTAATAAGAAGCTTGAACTTTTTAATTAATTTTTCTTTTCGGAAGAGAAACTTTTATAACATGATTCCGATAAAACATATCGTTATTTATAAACGAGCTTGCCAGAAACTCGTTATCTTATTTAATCTATCTAGAAATAGTACAACACAAACTTAAACCATGTTATTTGTCACAATCTCATTGCAATTTTAAAAGAAAATATTTGCAATGATAAAAATCCAACGTATAGCATTCTGTTCTCAAACTGTGTGTAAAACGGATACGTTCTGCGGAACACTGTTTAGTGTAGTATTTATGCTTGTATACCCTAAGACAGATGTATAAGAGTTAAAATTTTGTGAAATATAATCGTATAATTATACAATAATATTGTATATAACTTTCCATATATATCCGACCAATACTAAACAGATTCGAATAACCGTGGACCGTCCCAAATTAACAGTCGTAGTTTTTTTTTACTTTCAAGGGAGTATAATCTCGGACGATAGACTTTGGTATACCATCGCTCAAACAGCACAGTATATCCGATGAATGTATCGCGCGCGCGATCGTATATATCTGTCAAGTGTGTTCACCAGATATCCGAGCTGTATGTGCAACCGGTGTCGAGTCATAGAAAAATAATTGCGACAATCGTGCGGCAACTGCTCCTACTATGAAAGTACAAACTATAGTATGTCGCGATATTAGAAAACTGGGTGTTCTCGCATAGACGCGGTTTTGATCGATAATTCACTCGCCATCGGATTCCGTTACTTCCGCTCATAAAATCGCAAAAAAAAAAAAAAAAAACTGACTGCGTTCAGCAGAGAAAGTTGTTAAGGGAGCGCTTTGCATTGATTGAATTATATTTTTATATTTTGAGTTGAGGTAGAACCATTTCTCTAGATCTAAAAGTATAATCCAATTAATACATGTTTATTAAGCTGCTTTTTCTGTTTTCGTTGAACGCAGCCAATATATATATAACGTTTCGCAAAAACTAACGTCGCCTTCATGTGTTATTGGAAAAAAGACGATGTAAACTCTATCATCTTCTTTTACAATATATTTCTTGTAATATAACTTAAAAAACTGGTGTTTTTTTTAGGGTTGAACTTCCTTGATGAAGCACCATCGGCATTTCGTAAGATCGATTCGATTCACCAATTCGACAATGTGATCCAATTCGACAAATCGCAGGTACTAAATCCACCCGCATAAAACGCGCACCTATTGATTCGTTTTTGTCGTGCTCCAATTTCATTTACTATATAAGCGTTTCTATTCTCTTCCGGAACGAAAAATGACATTGGTCATCGTTTTGGTATCAAACCGAAGTCTCTTCTTTCCCATCTCTTCCCGTAAAACGCGTCGCTTCTCTTTTTCTCTCTTTCTCATCGCGCCATATATAAATATTAAAGTTGTATACACTCAATATAATAGATAAACGTTTCGATATGATATATTAATAGTGAGCTAAGCACCGGGAAAGATTTCTTCAGATCGCGCGCGTACGGTTTTTATTTTTTCTACTTTATTGAAACTATATGTGGTCCTCTTCTTTGTTGCTCTGCGTCGCCGGCGTCGCCGGAGTAGGATCGTCATGGAACATCGGGTTCTTCACTTCCATCTCGCCCGTCTTTAACAAAGTATCGAAAGCCGCTCTTAAGATAATATTTAAAATTAGGACAGACATTTGAGATTCTGAGTTCTGAGACAGGAATTATGACAGGATTCCTTGTATACGATACTCACAGATGCAAGTCCTGGGCATTCGTAAACGGTATAATCACCCTCCTCATTCTCTTCATCGCTCTCCGCTTCCGAAAGGGAACCCGGATCCCTCGTTGCAGAAGTACGACTGCAACAGATATTTGTTAAACGTTACTCTTTCAAAATAATATTCTCCTATTTCTAAGATTTTTATGAAATGATGGACATTGTCGAGAGATATATGTTTATTTTTTAGCAATTATATTAAATATTATAGATCATCTTAAGAATGACTACATCTAAATTAAACTCACTTTTCCATGGCAATAATTTGTTGTTTCTGATGTTGGAAGTGATACATCTGAGCAGACTGGGCGAGCCTCTGATCACCAGAAGGTGATACATCTTTGTTCGGTCCTGTCACACCGTAAGCAGGATACTCTATGTCCGCCGCAGCTTTCGCACCGCGTTGTAATCTGAAAAATATGATCCCGCAAAAAGAAAATGAAACGTGCGATGCTATAAAGCAAGCTAAGCGAATTATTGTGATCAGCATTACCTGCACCACGTTAAACTAATCAATACTAAAGCAAACATCGCAGCTGCACTGCAACCGGCCACAATAGCTGAAAATACATACGAAATATCACGTTGAATCGCGTTAATTGACAAAATCTGATAATTTAATTAATTCTTTTACAATTCTCATTTCGTTTTGGTTGCTTACCAATAAAATAAATGTCATTGTTGAAGTCCTGATTTATGGGCATGATCACCGGATGACGTCCCGCAAGTCTATCCGGTTCCGGCACGTCGAGACTTGCGGTTAAATCCGTCTCCTGCTTGACATTCCGCATGTCATCTTCATGTTTTACTAATGTTCGCTCTTTATTTCCAGTTTTCTCTTCCTTCAAAGTCATCCTTGAATTGTCTTGCCAATCTAAATCATCTAGTTGCACAAAAAAAGAAAAGTGTAATGCCATTTATAGTTTTTAAGAGAAAACAAAGAATAAAAGACAGCTGACAGGAACTTGCCAACAGGTCAAAGTGATTTAAAAAGGGAGAGTTTAAAAAAAGAATGGATTAAATATAAGTGGAGTAATTATTGATGCTTGTATAGTCTGATGTAATTTAACCCTTTTAAGACTTAATAATAATGTTAATGTGTAAAGGATAATGTTCTCAAATTTGATTTCGTAAAAGAAAATTATCGTGTAAGAAAAATTAATTGTAAATAAAAAACAAATAATAATGAAATAATTTGTACGTCAGTAATTTTGAGATTTTTTAAAACAAAAAAGTAAGAAAATGTATTTAAAAAATAATAATATATTTTTTAAAGTTAATATTTCTTCCATATTGAACACATAAAAATACACATAAAAAAAGTTAAATAATAATTTCTTAAGAAATAGAAATAATTTCTTACTTATTTTTGGTTTTGCTCAATTATATTATGTATATATATTTTTTTAAATTAAAATACCAAAAAGTTCTTGTCTAATTTTTCAAAGAAATATGGAATATCGTATATGTGGATAGATATAAATTTATTAATAAATCTTGTATCCTTTTTAGAGTTATGGACATCAAAATTAAAAGCATTACTTTAAAGAATCCTAATGAAATCAATGGAACAAATCAATGGAACAAAGGAATGTTCACCTGACGAAAATGGTTCCTCGTCGTAGTATCTGGGATCATTCGGTTTCATCGCAAACGGGTGCTTCTCCTTGAGATTCGAGTCATCAAATTTATACGTGAATTCTGGTTCGGTCGCTCCCGATGCAGCTGCCGTTGCCGGACGTATAGGTGCTGCTTCCATTCCGCCCTCATGATGGAACGTTCCGTGATTGAAATCTATGTATTTTTTTTGGAAAGAGTCTAATGTGGACTCCATTGGATCTCTGTTCACATCGAAAATTTTCCCGTACCCGAGATCTTTGGAGAAACGGCCATCATTTTCATTCGACTGTTTCTCTTCGGAGTAAGTCGGACGCTTGAGATCCAAATTGAAATAAGACGAAAGGTACTCTGGTTCCGTAATTTGATTCTGACGATAAAAGTGCGTCAACCATTCCAAGAAATCCTTTCTATTGGACAGAAATTTTAAAAGGACTTCGCGCTCGTCCTGATGGTCCAGCAGACTGTTGTGCTTCTTATACATTGACGACAGGAACGTGGGCAGGTGCGACCGATGAAGACGCTGCTGAAGACGATGCGCCTCCAAATAACGGGCCAACTTCAGCGCAACATCCTCCGACGTTTCCGGAAGCGCATCTATGTAGTGTCAGTTTGAGAAAATAGAAAGTGTATATTTCCGCATTTATCGATTCATATCAATCCTCTAATTATCAGCTTTATTTTAATACGTCAAATTCTAACTCTAACATAAAAAACTCGCCTTCAATATCAAATGAGAGAGGAAAGTTTTAATATATTAACATATTAGCTTTAATCCACTAAATATTATGAACAATAAATATTATAAAAACAACGTGAATAGTGAACGTTAAATTGAAGTTATATGTAACTTGAAATTATTATCACTGAGTTTCCTACCGCTTTCGTTATACATGTAATCGGGTTTCCTGTAGCTAACGATATGCATTCTACGATAACACCGCCCAGTATAATCATTCGTATGCTAGTTAAATCTTTTTAAGTATGTCGGTGTGTTACGTATACATAAAATTTTACGCTTATATATAAATCATATTATATGTCAATTGGTCATCGGTAAGAATTGGAGCAAACTGTAATCGCATCACAAACAATCGCGCAATTTACTCTTGACCTTCAAGTCTTAATTACGCTTCGTGGACAGAAAATATTATAAACGATCATCGGATTATCCATTCATTATTCTCGTTTACGCAATGTATCATAAGAGGATGGAATCTTTTGATAGTGTTGTATAATACGAATTATATAATAAATTTTTTGTACTACATATGTTCAAGAAATTTGAATTGTACTAAATTTTTATTTAAAAGGATCGGAAAGAAGTAAGATTCTAAAATCATCTTTACTATTTCGAATAATATTTCTCGATGATAAAAAAAAATATTCTTAATGATAAAGGGGTCACAAGACGATGATGGTTTATCATAAAAATGATAATAGTTGTTTTTATTTTTTTTTTCTTCAAAATTCTGAATTGATAATGTTATAAAAACAATTTTTTAGATATATATGCTGTTTAAAAAAATCTAGATTATCTTAATACCGTTAAAACATTCTTTGCTCCTTAACATATTTTTTTCTTTGCGAATTAATTAAGCAAATATATTTGAGCGAAATAGTCAATTGAATAGTGAATTATATTTTAACATTTAATTAATCAATATCCTTACTAATTAAAAATAAAACATGACTATTTTCAAAGAGTTACAAGTGGGTCTTCTTCGTGTCATTCCCCCTGGAAACGTTGCCTCCTAAGGCCAGAGACTCTACCTTACTCACCCCGATAAAAGCTGAGCTCGCCGGTGGACAAGCTCAACAGGACCGGCATTAACGTCAGCCAAGTGCAGCCCCGATGAAGGAGCATCCTCTCGTCGTCGTCGTCGTCGTCACTGCTGTTGGTCGGCTGCTGAGGGCCCTGCACAGGTCTTATCGTTTCTCTATTCGCGTCTCCATATGCGAGAAAGCACGTCACTTCATTCAGGGCGGACAGCGAGCTTGCGCGATTAGTGCGGCTTCGCAATCAATAACGACCACCACACCGACTTTCACCCTCCCACACCAGCTTCGTCTTATTCCGACGTTGCGCGAGTACTCCGCACCGCGTTCCTCGAGGACGCGCTTTTCCTCCTCTTCCGCCTCCTCTTTCTCCTCCTATTGTCGTGTACCGCGCCGGCGATTAACATGGGCGCATTAGATGTCATTAAGCAGCTGCCATGTACCCCCACTACTCTGCACACCCGCATCCGCACATGTGAGGATTTGTTCCGTTTACAAGATTGCTGTGGTTCCGATTCATTTTGTCCGGACATTCACCCTTTGATTCATCCGTTGAATATCCGTAGAATAGAAACGTTTCTCTGAGTTCACAATATACTTGATAATGCAAAGTTTGTTAACTGTATGGTGAATGCTGATGGACTTGTTATGTTCCAGAACTATTGAGAGTAAAAGAATATTGTCAAATATTAATGATAATGTCGAGGCATTTTTTAATTTATATTTTGGATTTAAATGTTTAATAAGAAAATGATACGTGCCTGAATGTCGTTCTTAAAATACAACGTTTCATTTCGTAACAATTATTTATTTAGTCGAGATACAGATAATCGAAATAAAAATCATCACATCAGTCCTTAATGTTTTTCATACGGTCTCATCCTTTTGATTCCTTTGAATTCCTTTGATTTTGTTTTTTATTAATTTAATTATATCAATTCACTATTTATTTACAGATAGTCGTAATCTTTAATCACATCGATGAACTAACACATCTAATTAACATGTCACATAAACGATGATTCGACACCTTATATCCAAAGAATGTCAAAATCCTCATATTTTTATATTCTCTGCTTTTGTCAATTTAATTATTCATCATAATTGTAAATAAAATAATAAGGCGGTACAAAAAAATCATTTAGCTATAAATTTAACTATGCCAAATCCATGATTACACCGCCTTAATTGTCGTCCAACAGAGACTCGTCCGTTACGAGCAATCGGATCGGCTTGCGTTTTTCCTCTATATTTTGTTTTCGTCTGCGATTTATTACGCCGTCGGAAGCATCCATCATTCGCAATATTTGTGTTTGGTCCGAGCAATCCACTGGTGCAACCGAGATATCCCGCACTGCTCTAAACTTGCCACAATTGTTCAAATGCTCGTTTTCTAAGCGGAAGAAGTTCCACACGAAACGTCTGTAAAGAAAACATATAAATTACGTGATGACCCAGTTTTTTTTAATCATCATAATGATAATATATATTGCAGAATTTGTAATATACGTTTACAAAAACTTCATATAAAATTCACTATAAACGCCCTGAAAATTTTTCTCACAATTTTTAAACAAATTGGAACATTTTTCAGAAATACTCAGAAATATTTGACGTTATCTTCGCGTTTACATCTTCTCTCAGAATTTTTCATACAACTGAATTCTGAAATATTCTCATCCGGTAATTTTTAAAAAATATTTTTAAATTTTTTAGATTTTTTAACATTTCATCAGAAATTATACTTACAAAAAAAATCTTAGAAATCTTACAATATTTTATAATAAACATATATAAAAAATTCTAAAAAAAGAAATAGATTCTTCGACAAATGTTCCAATTCGTATAAAAGATGTAAGAAAGTTATAAATTATATATAAATTCTGAAAAATTATAAAGAGATTCTGAAAAATTATATGAAAAATTCTGAGAAAAATGTTCACCAGAGCGTTCAAACAATTGCATAATGAAATGTGCATCCAATAATCAAATAATATTGTACAGCAAAAAATGTAATAGTATTTTTGAATTTAAACAATAAACAAAAATATATATAATATATAAACATAAGTAAAAAATTAAAATAAAGAGACAAATTACAACGTATCAGACATCGTGAACATGGGTCTTCATCATCATTATTATCGTCATCTTCGTTATCGTCATTCTCGTTTACACTATCCATCAGATGGATTGCGTTATCTTCGCATTTGATGGGCGCTATGGAGATATCACGCACCGCTCGGAACTTGCCTACGTTGTATAGATGCTCGTTCTCCAGCCGAAAGTAATTCCACACGAACCTTCTAGCGACTTATTAGTAAGGCACATTGATAAGCGATTAGATTGGCCAGTCTATCGTCGATTAAGTCGCTGCTTTTGACTTTTGACAATCAATTGTTTCGTTACAGAGTGCAAACGACATTATCGTAGGATCACTGAAGATAATTTTGAGCGCGAATAATTGATTCTTAATTACATGTCAATATTTTAGATTAATCTAAATTTAAAAATAACCTTTTTCTTTATTATATATATATATATATAAAATTTATGTTTTATTATATTATATTATATTATTTTATTAATTTTATTATTTATATATTATTAATTTTTTTATTTATAAATTGTGAAAATAAAGTCTAAACAACTCGTTTTCAAATTTACATATAATGTTTTTGAATTTTGCTTTTAAAGTCTTGAGACATTTAAGAATTATGTGCGTATAATGTGCGTGCAAATCATAAACTTAAATATTAACATTTTATTGAGCACAACAAAACAACGATAAAAATCGACGACTTGCAATCATTGAACTAGTACAACTATTCTTTAATTTTAATATATTCTCTACGTGCATTCAATATTAAAATACGAATAGAAACATATATTTACCTGAAAACTTCTAGTGGGGCAACTATAGAAACCATAAGATCCGCGTGAATATAACCCATTTCTGTTAGAGACAAAGAAAATGCCCATCCAAATCGCAAGATAAAATCTTCAACCATTGCAAAGTAGTAATAATACTGCAAAATGGAAATGGGCTATGATAAATCATTAATTAAATAAACAGTTAATACATTAATTGTCATCAATATTATTAATATCTGTGTATAATATAATAGAATTTAATATGGAAAAAACATACAGGTGACGAATAAACTATCTCTTCTCTGAGAAACTTATTTTCTCCAGCACTGCTATCGAAAAGACCCCAATCCAATTTTACATCCCAAGTGTACGTAAAACAGGAACTCACTACACTGACTGTCAGCCATAAGTAAAAGTAGGGATTCTCAGTAGACAGTGCGTAGTATTCTATTTAATAGTACAACTAGTTGAATTAAAAAATAGATAATATTTAATTCATTATCTAAGCGAAATACTTACTCTTGTGTGTTAAGTGCAAATAAGCGAAAATAACCACAAAGAAGCTTGTTGCATATTTGACCGCATTTAAGAGATGTGGGAAGGTCTCTTTCGTATCTCGATAACGCCTGAGACATTGTGCAAATCGAAACCACGCCGGTAAACACACCACAAACGGTCTCATCGATAGTTCACGCATTATGCAGGTGTCTGTATCTATTCAAAAAAAGAAATATGAATGCGTTAGATATTAAATATCGATTAGAAATATAAATACAAATATAATATAAAGAGGAGGAAATTTATAGTATGAAAAAGTTATGTACAATAACTATTGTAGCATAAATGATTCGTTGTATCTATATAATTAATTACTGACCTGTAACATCGGTCCAAGAAGAATTCTGGATATAGAAACAGACAAAATATTGAAAGTCTAGAAAGACCGTATGAAGAGAATTGAGTTGATCAGCGAGCCAAAAATCCGCGAATCCCACGTAAAAGAATGGTGCGCAAAAGACGCGACCCAGAACGCGCAGCGTCCAAAATCTTGCCTCGTGTCGTAGAGTTTTGGTAGGATTGAATAAGAACAATGCCAATAGCGCATAAAACAGCATCTATAAAAAACAATTAATTCCAATTGTTTACACTATCAAGAATTAATTACTCGTTATATTTTAAATTTTTCACGATATTTTAAAAATAAATATTTTAGAGATGACACACACTTATATAGAAATATGCGTGATCTTACTGGTTGAACAAACGGTGGTATACCCAACGTATCGCTGTATAGAAAACCCAAAATGGACATGGACCAAACTAGACCGAGTATGGTTGCCATTTCGATGATATGCTGAAATTACAATACATGCATAATGACATCAATAATCTATTTTTAATTATAAGATGTTAATACAAAATAATTTCAATTAAAATTAATATATAGGATAAAAGCGAACAAAGTACGACAAACATCATACTAGTTAGTAATAATTTAAATTTTGTTTATTATAGTTTTATGCGAAGACATATTTATTAATTATATAAGAACTGTTTAAAATTCTGTACAACTAATTGATAAATCCTATTAGTATTTTAAAATTAGTATTATCTTACTATAACTATAATCTAAAATATTGATTTTATCTATCATAAAACCTGTTCTGACAAATGATTGCGTGGATCAAGTTCGAATATCAGCACATGGTTTACGCCAGAAGATCTCCAGCCATAAACATTGATTCCCATCAAAAAGAGGAATTCTATCATAAGAAGTGGTCCACGATAAATTCGACATAATACCGTCCAGTTATCTTTCTTTTTATATCGCATAGCTGAAAAATTAAAATCAATGTAATGCAAATAAAAGGGAAAAAATTTTCATTTTTCTTACCGGATAATATCACAGCTATAAAAAGTATGATAAAAGCACCGGAAAAAAGACCGACTTTAAATGTAATCCAAGGAGAGAGCTGTTCTCCGAGTGGAGGTACTCTGAGCCGTTTCATAGCTCTTTGACGATCGCCATGCTCCAGATCTCGAGTGACCACAGCCTCGGTCTCTGCAATCAATCTATCTATATCCTTGTGTGTATGGAAAATCGCCGTATCAACGTGTTCTGCCCGCCATTTGCCACCAAAGTCTACATTCAAAAGCTATAAAATATCATTTATACATCACTTTATACATATCTCTTCATATCTTATCTATTTACTTGTGTTTCTCGAACATATACAATTCATAATTTTTTTTTATTCTGCATTTAAATTAATTGTATACATAAATTGCAAACGTTAAATAAATCTACATACTTTGTCATGTTTCTTCAAAATTTTTCGGAATCCAGTAAAATTCAAGTCTTGATAATTTTGAAGTAGAATAAGAAAAAGGTAGAATTCGGAGAAGGCTAATTTTAACTCTTG